TATATATATAAATATGATCGTCCAGTTTCAATTAACTCACAATTTACTGACTCGGTGAGGAACCTGAGCCTGTTTAGTTGAACACAATGCTGACAAACGCAGGAATTGTAGAAAGACGAGCAAAGGTCTTCTTCAACAATCTCGCTTTTTGTTTTGTTTTCTTTCTTCTTTTTTGCTGCCACCTAATGGAAGAGTATTTTATTATTTTGCCCGTCACTGTCACATGGACAGTAAGTTATAGTTTCAGAGCAATTAAGTGAATTTGTGAAATCCCTGGTTTAGGTATCTGACTCTGATTGTTGTTAGTGGGTGCGAAAATGTTTCTATGAACCAAAGTTCCTTTTGGAACCACTGCTTTAAAAGTTTACTGGTGCCAAACTCTCAAGAACTTAATAATTGCCTGTGAGTTTCCCGTGAACATAAAGGAAAAGATTTATTTAACCGGAAAATCAGTTGTCCTTGTTAAAAGGCATATTGACAAAAAACCCTTTGACACTGTAGGTTTACGTGTGTGTGTGTCCGTGCGCGCACGCAACACACACACACACACGTGTTGCCCGATGCTGATTCACACCAGTGGTCCATACTGTATTGAATTCCGTTGCTATCGATCACCATGCAGCTGCCTCCACCAGTGTCAGCCATCTGCAATAAGGAAAATTAAATGTTGCTGGGGAGCATTTGCAGGATCTTTTGATGCACACATGATACATGAGAAGTGCTGTGAATTGGAAGTCGGATAATTACCTTGAGAAGTAGTCTTGCGGACGTAGCGGTTTGCAGCAGCAGGGACCAGCTGATTTAGTGCTGAAACCGAAAACCCCGAGAACCTGAATTGGATGGAAGTAACTGTGAAAATCATCCTATTCAGACAATGGAAATGTGTTATCGCCTATAGCTTTCACATTATATAATATATTTATATATATTATATATTTATATATTTTGATTAGGGATGTCCGATATTAACTTTTGGCCGATATCTGATATGCCGATATTGTCCAAAAACGTCATTTCGATATTAACCTATACCATTGTATGCAGCCGTTTGGCTTAAAGGCAAAAGCTTTGTCAAAATGGCAATACAAATAATAGTGTCACTTTCACTTCAAAATTATTTTTAGGTCACATCGTCTAGGCGAAACCCAGGCGTTGTGTTATTTCGTTTTTATTATCGGAGGAAACAAAAACGATAATGATTCTTATGACTATCACATCCATCTATCCGTCCATTTTCATTCGCTTATCCGTTACCAGGTCGCAGGGGCCTGCAGTCTCCACGACCGCCACCCAAATCACAGGGCCAACCGCCCTGACTGGGATTCGATCTTGCCCACTTCACTTAAAACCCACAATTATGAAAAGCGAAATGTAATCATAACCAGGTCAGTTTAGTAAATGAAATGCAGCTTTGGGTGCAGTTCATTACTCACTGTCACGGTAACAGTAACAGATACAACATTCCGCAGAGAGATTTCTAAAAAAAACTCCCCTCTTCTCTCTGTCTCTGTTACACTCACGAATCCCTTGTGCACAAACTCTTGCACTGTAACCCCTCTTTTTATAGCTCAACCGGAGTTTAAGTCCAACATGGATGACACCTATGTCCACCTGTCAAAGACTGCAAGGTCCCTCTCCTC